AATGAAAAATGTGAGTTATTGCGTTCGTCATGTTGTATCCACCGCCGATTGTTGAATGCTTGCTCATGATGAGAGCTGGAAATGAAGGCAATGCTGGTGTCTCAACCACTGGAGAAAACATCCACACTTAGGTTTTTGGATTTTTGTGTTGTTGATTAAGAAAGAATTGCCGACATATAATAAAGAATAATTTTTTTTTGTGACTTAATTTGAATAGTTTGGAGAGAGGATTTTAATTAATTCAGAATAACATGATGATGCATTGCTAGAAAATGGACTAACCAAACAATCATACGTACCAAAAGAGCAAACCGTACATGTAAACATTAATTTAAGGAAACGATTAATATTCTTTCTCTTTATGTTTTTTTTTTGTTTTTAATATGAGGAGGTGATGGGAATTTTAATAGAGTTTCATGTATTGTTGGGTGTTATATATGTCTAGTTATTTTTTTATAGGGATACTGAGATACATATAGAAAGATTCATAATTTAATCTTGTTAAAACATCATTAACTCATCGATTAAATGTGGATATTTACTTGAGAACCATATGAATATTCATACTATCTTATATTATTAATTAACAATAAAACTTAAAAAATAATATTTATCTCATATATTATTTATATGAGTGTTATGCTGAGATGTCAATTTCAAAAACTTTCTTATTAATTTTTTAAAAGTATGTTCAACTTATTAGATTAATTACATCATATGCTATTAACATTAATTTGGCTAGAAATTAGTTTATATCAATTATATATTTAGTATTCTAACATTTAATTTGTAAAAATATTCTCTCTCATTTTATTTCTTATCAATATAATTAGAAAACTTTAAAACATAATATCATTGATGTTACTAACATTATATATTTTATCTAATCTTTCTTTGATTTTAATTTTATTAAAAAATAATCACATTATTTATTTAATAATATTAAAATTTAATAATTTTTATACATATTATAATTCAAATTTTTATATCAAAAACAAAATATTTTAGTCTGATATTGAACTGGTTAGATAGATAGTGTTAATCTAATTTAATATGCAATTTCATTTATGTAAAAATATTATTAAAATTAATTATAAAATTAATAATTATATAATATTTATGCAATTGTATTACAAAATAGATATAATTTTAATTATTATTGAAAATTGCATACTTAACACATATATTTTCAATTATAAATATCAGCTAACATTTTATAATTTATATTTATAAAACAATATATTTGAATAAAATAATTATAGATAATATTTACTCCGCACATAGTATATGTAATCATCTAGTTAAATACATATTGATGATATGTAAACTAAAGTTCCGAAAACATCCTCATTATGTTAATATGATTTCATAAAAATTGTCTCATACTTTATAATTATTATGTTTTAATTTTTTCACCCTTGAATAGTTCAATTATATTCTCTTGTTTATTCACAAAATAAGTGTCATTTAGACACATTTACACATGCCAGAAAAAAGAAGAAGACACATTTACACATATTGATTTTTGTTAAAATTACACCAATATACATATTTAATATACCCATACTTAAAAAAATTAACTCTAATACGATACTATTAATAAAATAAAAAGAGTGGTGCTACCTACATTTTCTCTTTGGATAATTAAAAGGATAGAGAGAAAAAAAAATAACTACATTTAAAAAATAGAAATATCTAAATTATTCAAAAAAAAAACATCATTTATTAAGAAACGAATGAAGTATCATTCTAACACTTCTCGCATAGATTAAGAAACTCTTTAGTTATACAAATATGACTATATTTAATATGTCAACAGTTAGATGATAATATCTTAAATTCAAAAACAATTAGCTTAAGGTAACTGATAAATATTAAATTTGTTTGAAAAATCATATAAAAGATGTAAAACAAAATTCTTTTCATAAATTTTAATTACAAATAATTTTAAGATAATAACTGTATTAAAACATATAATTTTTTTTGTCAACAGCTTAAATACCTAGAATGATTCCATGACTTAAACCAATGATACCGAATTTACATATAAAACGTCATGAAAAGTAGACTCGAGCACTCTTTGTTAAATTATCTGCTTTTGCATATAATATAAATCCAATCATGTTTTGCAAGAATTACCGCTTTTGATATCATTTATGACAATTTAGTTCTTGTACAATATGACATACGCATGTAGATGGTACACAAGTAGACAGAACAAGGCGATAATTTTATTATTTCACTCTAAAAGACAGATTAAAAATTTTAAGTATTAATTTTGTAAAAAAAATTGAATTTAGTGTTAATCTGTGTAAATATGTCCAATCATGATTTGCTATATAGTTTAACTTATTACCCATACATAAACTCATTGAAGAATACCTGGCATTCAAACCCCACAAAAAAAAAATTCATTATAAAACATAGAACGTTTAGACTTCAGCCAAATGAATAAATTAATTTTCTGTCAAAAGTAAAATAAAATAAAAAGTTCCGGTTTATTGGAACAAACTAATACGACAACAAAACTCATTTATCCGAGAAAGATACCAATAAGGATGTCCACGTCTATTCGAGTCATTCATCTATTTTTGTTCGTTACATAAATTTAACATATAACGTGATATTTCTCGCCTTCTTTAGCCGAAAATTCAGACTACAGTATTTTTAAAGAGAAAATTTGAGAAAATGCCTTATTATGAGTTTATAATTTGAAAAATACACCAATTTTATTTTTTTTTTGAAATCTACACTTAATAAGTAATAAATAAAATGACAAAATTAACCTTAATTTAAAATTTAAATAAATTAATATTTAAATCGTTATTTTTTTACTCTTCGTTGAATTGAGATTTTACATATTTTGGTTTTACATTATTTATATGCTGACTTTCTCTTTCAATTTCTCTAACTAGCACCAGTTTGCTATGTGTCCTTTTTCTTGGTCTTTTCAGTGCAAATCAGTAATAGTTGGTCAGTGGATTACGTTCTTGAAATCAATTGATCAGTTTTTTGTTTTTGTTTTAAACTCTCCTGGATCTAGATTCTTCTCTTGTGTTCGATTTCAGTTTTGAAGACTGAATTGTTTGTTTGTGTATCAGTCCTAAGAAGCTTTTATTATCTTTTTACTGTGGCTGGTTTTTGATTTCATGTATTCACCTGTTCCTCAGAGTAAGATTTTGAACACGAATTTTTAAAGTTTGGATCATACATTTGTAATCTTTGATGATGTGTATAAATATATGCACAATTGTATACATTTGTTTTTATGAGATTTATGAGTAAAGTAAAGAGACATCTAAAGAAAAGACTAGAGAAAATATCACAACTTGATTCATCTATTAAATCTTTAAAAGAAAAAAAAATATAACTAAATAAGAAAACCAAGTGAGATTATGTTATTATATTAATTATTTATTTCGAGTTTTTATTTTTATTTAATAGATTATATTATTTCTAATTAAATTTTGGTCAAAATTTTTTTTAACATATATCAAAAGTGTATTTTGCCAATTATCCTATTTTTAAACTAGTAATGTGGCCATCAGATCTATAATTGGGTGATGATAATATATTAATGGTAGGACATTAGCATGTTGATAGGAGGGAGTTAGCTAGGTAACCGATTTTTAATAGGGTTGTTTTGAAGATAAGGACCTTTTTAAGTTTTTATTTGAGAAAAAGGTAGTTTTAAGTTTTAATTAGTCAGGATAGGGACATACTTTCATAATGCCAAACTTACCCTTCTCTCTGAGAGAGAAAGAGAGACAGAGCAGACTGTTCTTTAGAGAGAGACAGACGCAGAAAATACCGTGGGTCCCAGGCGTAGTCTACGTCCGCGCGCGTAACAGCCGGGAAGAGAGCACTCACGCGCTTGATTGTGTCGTTTTTTGGGCCTGATTTCGAATTTCAGAATGAAATTCCCAAAAACCACCTTACTGGGCTTCGGTTATGGGCCGGAAACTACTCAACTCATTACACGCAAAATTACCCTTCCCATTCTCTTTTTAATTTTGTCGGGAAAAATTGTGGTTAATTAGAGATGATGGAGATAAATTGGTTAAAATAAGAAACAAAGTACCCTAACCAAATTAGAAACCTTAGTTTCCCTTTCCAGAAGATGTTGAAATTGAAGGGGAAATTATGCGATGATCAAGAGGACAACAACTACGGTTAGTTACTTAATCCTATTATTGTACACCCATAGATTTGTCATTGTTATTTTCGAATTTTTTTCGGACTGGTGTCCGCTATTTGCCAGTAGTTTTTTAGATATGGAGTTCGCGAATTGCAATGGATGCGTTCATTCTTGTTATGGCGGGAACGTGGATAAGGTACTATACAGGAGAATGGGATTTCAAAATGGACATATCTCGTCGTGGAAGGTGCATAAAATTGCAAAGATGTGTCCGGACCAGATGATTTGAGAAATCTGATTGCGCATGAGTTCGGTTTAGACCCGAGAGTTGTTTTAGTGGAAATTTCCTACTGGTTTGATGATGTTCTAGCTGAGCTTAATGGTGATGGGAGTTATCCATGTGTAATAGTTACTCCTCGAGAGTACAAATTCTTCCTTTCGCTGCATAAGTCTGACAAGTCTGTGAATTTATTTGTCACATTCAAGGAGTCAGTAAATGGTAAAATGGTGAGATTGAAACGGAAGAAAAGTCTTGAAGTTCAAATAGCGAGGGAACGGCGAAAGTCCTTAGGGCCAACAAACTTCATAGCCTCTTCTTCGGCAGAGTCTAGTCAACCCGATGATGAAGCAGATGATGAAGATATCGATGATTGTTTGCTGATAGCACATGCCGAGAAAGTAGAGGCAGAGGCCGCAATGAACACCTCCAAAAGTGTACAACTTGAAGCTGTCTCTGTTATCCATCCTCCATTGGGATTAAAAATGTCACAGGAATCAGGCCAGCATTAACACCTCCGTTAATGTAAAACCTCATGTTCCAAGTCACGCTGTCTCTGTTGACAACCCTGAGTTGGAATTAAAAATGTCCCAGGAATCAGACGAGACGAGAGATTCAGAAGAGAAGGAAGCTGATGATGTTGACGATGACGCACACGGCTCTGATGATGATTATAATCCGGATTATGATTTTGACTGGTGGAATGATTACGTACTAGCAGATGGTAAGGGTTTCCATTCTAAACCTGGATTTGATGAGGATAAGGATGACTCTGGTAGTTCAGGGGGTTGTGGAAGTACTCGCGGAAGTGAGCCGAGTGATTCAAACCATATGGAACTCTATTCTCTTAACGGAGAGTCCTATTCATTTTCCTGGAAGAAAGAGGACTGTATGTGAGAATGTTCTGGCTCCCCATGGAGATGATGATGATTTTGTGCACACTCCGACAGGTGATGTCAGTTGGGGGCGTCAGAATGGCGGTGCAGAGCTGAAGAAAGCGATTAAACGTACATAACTATATGGATTTCCGGATGTGGCACCAGTCTCTGATGAAATGGGAGGGGATTTCGATGAACTTGATTTGTCAAATGAAGATGGAGAGATATGGGTTGGGAAAAAGTTCAGGAACAAGGAACACTTTAAAATCACGTTGGCCATCAATGCACTGAAGAATGTAGTGATGTTCGAATTCAAAAAGCATGCGAAGAAGTACACAGTCGCCGAATGTCCATCAAAGATATGTGATTGGAGAGTGTTGGGGTGTCAAGTTGGCGAGTCTGCGTTGTATGAGGTGAGGAAGGCGTGTTTGAAGCATACATGCCACCCGGATACAAGAAAGAAATTTTCTAAACATACTACTTCTAAAGTCATGGCGGCTCTGCTGAAGGCTAAGTATGAGAATACAATAGTTGGGCCACGTGCGAGTCAGCTACCTGCGATTGTTCTCTCCGAATATAATATTACAGCCTCGTACTGGAAATGCTGGAAAGCTAAAGAGCTGGCTATATACTCTGCTCACGGAAGAGAGGAGACTTCTTTCAAATTATTACCGATTTACCTCCATGTGCTCAAGTATGCTAACTCCGGCACCATAACGCATTTGTCAACCGAGAGCGAGAGAGATGACAAAGATGGAAAATGTATTACCAGGTTTAAGTCCGTATTTATGGCATTGGCTGCGTGTATATCTGGATGGAAACATTTGAAACAAGTAGTTGTTGTTGATGGGACTCACCTGACTGGTAAGTATAAGGGTTGTCTATTAACGGCCAGTGGACAAGATTCTAATTACCAGGTATTTCCAATAGCGTTCGCCGTTGTCGATGCAGAGTCTGACAAGACATGGAGGTGGTTCTTTGAGAAGTTGTTATAAATTATTCCAGATTCCTCTGATCTTACTTTTATCTCGGATAAGCACGGTGGAATTGCCAAATCTAAAAAGAAATGGTATCCCCAGTCACACCACGGTGCATGTCTTGTCCATATCCAGAGAAATGTTCACGGTAATTACAAAATTTCCGGTCAGAAAGGGTTGGTCGGAAAGGCTGGAGAAGCGTTCACAGTTTCTAATTTCAAGAAACTATACGCAAGGCTGAAGGATGTTGATTATCGTTGTTGGGAGTACATGGAAAAAATCCCTCTTGCGCTGTGGACTAGATCACACTTTTCTGGTCAGAGGTATAATATGACCTCCAGTAACATTGCAGAGTCTCTGAACAATGCACTATTTGCTGCAAGAGACAGTCCAATCGTTGCAATGCTAGAATTTATGAGGCGAATGTTAAGTAGGTGGCTTGAATGCAGAAGAGAGAAAATTCAAAAGATGGATGATGACATTACAGAAGAGGTTGACAAGTTAATGAACCTGCAGCAGCAAAAAAATCTGCTGCACTATCGGTTCAAGGCATTTTTTTGTGGGAGGTTGAAGTGAGTTCGGTGTACGGAGGCTTGTTGATCTCCTAAACAAAATATGCTCATGTCTAGAGTTTCAGACATTGAAATACCCTTGCCGACATGCAATGGCCGCGACTAGGCTTCGGCAAGTGGAGTACAGCAAATTGGTTGATCCAATTCTTAAGAAATCAATTTAGAGTGCAGCAGTTTGTGGCAAAATCCTACTAGTGCCCGACCCTGACGACATTCATATCCCAGCAGAGGTGCGTGACCTTAATATTATGCCACCTAAGTCAAAACGTCCATCAGGAAGGCCTACGACGAAGAGAAAACTTTCAGCAGGAGAATATCCTCAGGTTAGTGTACACTAAACAATTATTTTTTTCCCAGTCATACTGATTACTGATTACTGATAGACGCTGTTGCAGGTTGCGAAAAAAAGAAGCCTAACAAATGCTCGAGATGTGGAAATGCCGGCCATAACCGGGCAAAATGCAAGGAACCATTGGGTTGACCGGGTGTGGCTTTTGTGTGTCTTTTGTTGTGTGTAGGAAAGAGCGAGCCACATTTTTTTTTGTGTGTCTCTTGTTGTTTTTTTGTGGGGATCTCGCTGTGTTTTTCGGGTTTGTTTCTAGCGTACACTATGTTTCCCTATATTTAAACTTGGAAAGGGAAACTTATATTTGTTATGAATTTTATTATGAAATTTATATTTGTTATATTTGTTATGTTATATTTGTTATGAAATAAGTTATATTTGTTATGAAATTTATGATGTTTACTAGACAGGGTGTACACAGTTTGTGTATACCCTTGACGGTGGACGCAATTTGTGTATACTGTGATCTCGCTTTGTTTTTCGGGTTTGTTTCTAGCGTACACTATGTTTCCCTATATTTAAACTTGGAAAGGCATGAACTATGTTATATTTGTTATAAAATTTATGATGTTTAGTGGACAGGGTGTACACAGTTTGTGTCCACCTGTGACGGTGGACACAGGTTCTCTACACTGTGATGGTGGACAACATCAATCAGTTTACATCATATGGTGTATTCGCATTATGGCTTATGTATAAGTTTACATTTATATGGTGACGCATATAAATTTAGGTGTATGCACGTTATGGGTTTAGTGGACAAGGTTTACACAGTTTGTGTACACCTGTGACGGTGGACACAGTTTGTGTACAGGGACACAGTTTGTGGACACAGTTTTTGGACAACATCAATCAGTTTACATCTTATAGTGTATTCGCATTATGGCTTATGTATAAGTTTACATTTATATGTTGATGCATATAAATTTAGGTGTATACATGTTATGGGTTATGTTTAGGGTTTAGGGTTTAGGGCTTAGGGTTTACGATGTAGGGTTTAGGGTTTATCTTATTAAGGGAATCAAAATAATTATCAAAGACATGGTTCTGGATCAAATAATTATCAAAGACATGGTTCTATAGCAGAGAAAGAAAACACTAGAAAACGGACAATGATCGTGTCTTTGAATTGAAATTGTAGGACATGACAGCACGAATAAACGATTTTTTCAAAAATCAAGTCATTACGTTTTTGAAAATCGCTATAATGAAAACATGAGGAATAAACGCGACCCAAAAAAATCAAATTGGAAACGACAAATACAAATTAAGTACCTTTTTTGAACCCCGTTGCACCGTTTGACCGACTCGTTTCCTTTGTTTACTTTATAATGTTTTTCCTGTCGTCCTCTATAAAAACTGTCCCCTGCCTTCTTCAGTGAAACAAGTTTCCGGAGACAGAAAAAGTTAATTACAGCAAAAGTTAATTACCCAGAAAATTAATAGTTTCAAAAAATGTACTCTGCCAAAGTGATCTCATTGCAATTGAAGGAAGTGGAAAAGAAAAACAGTCCATGTTTCAGTATAGGTATTTGATGGTTCATTTGAAAATAGGGGTTTAGTTTAGTTTTAGTATTTGAGGATCGGTCTTTTACATCATCAACGTTATTAGTGTTTTGCCGATTTCATTAGGACCTGTGGGTGAGGACTTGTATCACTGGGAAGCTATCATAACGGGCCCTAAAGGTTCACCCTATGAGAATGGTGTTTTCAAACTAGACATTCACTTTCCGCTTGACTGCTCTTTCGCGCTACCTAGGATAAGGAATGAAGCATATCATAGCTCTCTCAAATTGCTGTATTTTTAGGGTTTTGGATTTAGTCAATAAAGATATCAATTACTAATAACACTGATTTTTTTCAGGTGATGTTCAAAACAAAAGTGTATCACCCGTACACAAAAAGGGCTCGGTCGTAGCCTCCCTCCGCAGTAGCCCTTATCAATTCCACGCCTTCACCACCGTGGAAGAAAAAGTAGGCTTGCATCCCCCTCTCGAAAATAACCCCTGGAATACCCGCGTCATAGAATCTCCTCATCATCGTTGGGTAATGTGGAACCATCGTTTGTTCATGCACGATTTCGGCGGGATCAATGGCTCGATAGAAACCCCTGCTTGTGTCGATACGGTTGAAACGAGAACAAACAGCACGGAGGCGGGCTATTTCCCTTATAGTTGGGTTTGTAGCGGCCAAAATATGTTCCAGCAATTCATCAGGGAGTGAGAGAAGATAGGAAAAATCACCATCACCACCTCTGTTTCTCCTTGGAACCATCGTTTATTTCGATGAAAAGAGAAAAGATAAGAAAATGGATTGAGGAAGAGGATAAAGGATTGAAAATGGAATGAAAGAGGAAGTTATGATGGTTCTAAGTAGGCATTTACGGTGAAGCGATTGAATTTAAAGAGGTAGTGCGGTTTTAATAGAGCCGAATAGCTGTCTTTGAAGAGAGACGTTGAAAAGAGACGAAAAGGTGTCTTTTCATTTACCGGCAAAATTGAATTACCACAATAAATACAGAGAATTACCAAATCAAAGCAAATTTCACCATTAAACATTTTTGATGAATAATTTAATTTAATTTTTGATATACCACAATACATTTATGATTTCTGTGACAATACTATTACTATTTATGATATTATCGAAATTTCATTAACAACCCAGCTCTTTTTTTAATTGTTAGAAACTATATTTCTTGTCATCATTACAGAAGTTTTCTCAACATCACGTTAACCGAGATATAGAGTACAGATTGAGTCCACATAGACGAAATCATGAATTTTTTTAAAATATGCGTACAGAAATAGGTAAGGTGAGTCCATGGCGTATTTCTCCCTTAACCTGTCAACGTCATCGTCCGTTATCAAACTCATATCCTCCACTCCATACCCTGCAGCATGCATCTCTAAGAATTTGACCGCACATGGTCCACAGTCACCGGATCTTTTGTTCTGATATATGCCTCCCAAACGACTCCATGTGTAAGGGGTGGTGCGTAGGCTTTCCGTTAATTTGCTATCCAAATAACGCTTCAATATAAATGGCATATTTTGACACACGGGCGCCATATTCTGTTCCACAGCCGCTTCATCATTATGACTGATGAATGAGTCCAAAATCTTTATGTTGCCCATTTTGAAGTCAATTACAAGGCCCACCCAATGCTCAGACCCCAAGTTCATCGGCACGTATACAACGTCCACAAACCGTAGAAACATTTGCCTCTGCCGCTGATTAGCCCACTTTGCAGGTTTTCCCAATACAATGCCCTTATTGGTTTTCCTCCAGTCATACTGATTTTTGTCTCCAGATATGAAACCGTTGTAGTAGTTGCCGATTATGGATATGAACAAGGTGTCTACAAATGCTACCCTGTCTTTCAAGTATATTTCACCTCTACGTCTCCAAAGCATGGCCATTATGACTTGCATATGCTGACGAATAACAAAACATAAATAACATATATTACAAATAATTAAAGATTGAGTAAGTACTAACTATATACTTACCATCGTGTTAACCCACTCAGTAGGCTTCGCAATTTGTAGGAAGAATTGATTGTTGACAGTATGACCAGTGACAATGCAAAAGTCGCTGTAATGAGAGCAATTGGTAATTGATAACAATGAAAGTTTAAGGATAAATTGCTTTCAATACGATATAACTTACATGTTTCTTTCACGCGATAATAACTCCTGGAATGCCTTGAAGTGGTCTTGTTCCACTGTTTCGAGTGGTTTGTACGCAGCTTTCGATCTGGATACAAATAGAGCTTTCAACTTTGAATCTGCGGTGTAAATATCTCGAATCTTGTCCGACCGTATGCGTGCGCGTTTTCCTCTAGCTCTTCCGCCTCTTCCTGTTCCTCTACCTCTTCCTCCTCTTCCTGTTCCTCCACTTTTTCTCTTTACACCAGACGATCCCTCGACTTCTTGTGGGGGTTTTGGAGTACAAGGGGTCTTCTGCGAAGCATCACTTGCATCCTCAGGCGCTGTATGGTAATCTTTCCCCACATTTGAGTCTTCCTCATTAGCCACAGCCTACACACCACTGTAACAATAGAGCGTATACCATATCAATCGTATACCTAGCGTATACCTAAACACTATTGTATACACATGCATATCATATGAACAACTTTAATGTCTGACCTGTGCATCCTGCGCATCTGTCTGCGCTTCATTTTTCTTATATGCGTAGCTCAATGGGTGAGGAGTCTGAGGTTTGTAGACTACTAAGGTGCTTGACACCAAATTTGTTCTACCACCATCCACCTGAATAAGTCATAAAAAACATAGCACAATACACACACGTTATGAAACTTAATAGAGTCAGCTGCTGACTAAACAATTACCTCACCTCGTTGAGGCCAGAAGGTGGATCTTCATCCGGATTGACGAAGTAGGGAGGTGGACGAGTTGTTCCTGAATTGGCTTGTTCAGGTTCAGGGGTGTTCGTCGAAGCTTCTGGAGTCTTCAAGTACGCATGGTCCCTAGGAGAATAATGGTCGCCGCCGTAGTAAGTAGAGGTCCCTTCTTCATCATCTCTTTCTTTCTCGTGTACACCATCTTCGGGGTGTACACCATCATCATGGCGTACGCTAGACTGTGCACCATCATAACCTCCTTCTTCACCTCCATCTTCGGCTTCGTCTT